GGTTCCGTATGCCGCTCCTCAATGCAGTTATACTAACGGGCTTAACAACTATTCTCCCGTTTGCCCAGATTTGGCTTCCTGGGGAAGCGGAACCTGATTTTACTTGGGCTCTGACTACACTCATGACCTTCATGACGGAGCAGATAGTACCGTTGCCCAGAGTTCTCATTACAGATCGAGACCTAACGCCACAGAGATCGCGTTTCCAGAGTGTTCTAAGATGCTCTGCTTTTGGCACATTCGTCGCAACGTCGTAGCCCAAGCTCAGAAAAAGATTGGTGATGGCAGTACTGTAGCCATCGTGAATGGAATGCAGCGGAAGAAAAAAATTGCACTCGAGACGGACATTTTCATGGCAAAGTTCGATGAGACCGTAGATTCAACTACTGAGGACGAATTCGAGGAGAGACGAGCTGGTCTGCATCGACTAAACAGTGCTATGGGCAAGTACCTGGATGCTCAGTGGTGGCCGCATAGAACCAAGTTTGTAAGGTGTTGGACGGATCAGTACAGCCACTTCGGATGTAGAGACACATCGACGGTCGAGGGTACGCATGCTACAATGAAATCTTGGCTTGACAACTCACAAGGTGATATCCTTAAAGTCTTTATGCGCCTCCTTCCATGGTGGAGTCACGCTGCATCACGAACCAGTCTAAAAGCGGCCAACGACGAGTCCAATATTCCTCCTCTATTTCGTAAGAACGACAACTACTCAGCCATTGCGAAGATTATTACCATTCATGCCTTTAGGAAGACCGATGAACTCTGGGCAAAAGCTCGTGCCATTGTTGTTCACAATCTTGACAGAAGTGTATGTGACGGTACATTCCGGCGGGTACATGGCCGCCCGTGCATTCACGACCTCATGGCGATCATCGAGTCCGATGACCCGAACGTGAAGCTAAGGCCTGAACAGTTTGACAGGCATTGGTGGCTTCCTAGCGCTCGCAACTGTGATACTGAAAGAGTTCTAGAACCAGCAACACGTCGTAGAGGTCGCCGTTTTAACGCCCAGCAAAGGTCTCATCAAACCGGCTACGGAGCCTACAGTACACGTCGAGAGCCGTTGGGCTTTGAAATTATCGAGCAGAACTTAGCAGTAGAACGGATGCACGCTGCACACGTGCCATCGTTTACTGAGCTGCTCCAAAGTGAAGATACTGTTCAATATGAACAGAAATTCTTGCCTCCTCGCTCGTGGGGATATGCAGGACTGAGATCATTAGATGAAGACTGCTAATGTACAATCTTTGAAGTTTAGCATCTGGCTTGGTTTGTTATTCAACATGTGTTGTCACACACCGGCCGGTCTCTGCTTTGGTGCTCCGCTTTCGGTGCTCCTTAGTGCTTCCCCGGAGCAGGCCCATCGGCCGTTGTAGTTACCCAAGTTTTCGCTCGCGTTCCATGTCGTCGACAACAACGGCAGTGTCCTCAGCCAGGAGTCGCAGGATTCCAACAAAGACGATGGGGTTGGCATTCGAACTGCCACAGTATGTTGGGAGGGTACGATAGTAGACAGAGCTACAATCGATTGCTGCGTACCACCTCAAAACAAGTTACCTACCATTTTTTATCTAGTCGCCAAAATTCGTATGCCATTAGTCATTAATGCACCACAAAGTTACCCACACGATAATTAAAAATCGCTGTACTGCTTGAGCATGATTTGATATATTAGCGATTGCGTATACTGTTCTACAATAAAATAAATGATGAAATTCTTCACCGCCAATCCGAAAAAATTTGGATTTTTGGCTTGATGTAACTACAAAAACGTGTACTCCAAAGCACCCTTAATCTTAGACTATTCTCGTATATATGTACGCAACACCGCTCACCATTTTACACCATGAGAGTTACAAACATGGCTGACCTCCAAAAATCATTTCCCTGATCTTGAGAATAAAACTCAAACTATAAAGAAACCTATGCTTAAAAAAGCATGAGTTTTCTCTTACAGCTGTTGGAGGCCAGGTTTCTTATATGAAACGTTTGGCGACGACCAAACAAAGGACTCCAAACTGAATTAATTATTTTTATCTAGGGTAAGATCACAACCGCCACTTTATAATTTGTCGGGATCATGTCGTACCCCACACAACCTGTACAGCGGCGTTCTGGTGGCGCTGGGGGCTCTTTGCAGACAGTTCCTAGTAGACGGCCATCAGTTCGCAAAAGCCATAGTGCCCTCGACCGGGCAAAGGATACGCTAGGTGTAGACGTCGTAAACGTACAGAACCCTCGCATCCCAATGGGGCGGAGACGAGCACGCGCAAGTGGAAGATTTGGCCCTGGCATTACTTCGACAAGGAGTACCTGACGCACAAGTTCGCGCTATCTTTGGTATAGGAGGCTCCAAGATACTGAGATTGAAAGACATGATAAGAAACAGAATCGACAGCTTTCATACTCGACGAGTTCCAGCGCGTCCCAAGCATGCATTCTCCAGTGATGACATCGACTAAACAATGGACAAAAACGGTGCAGACTTTT